CCTGTTGATGCAAATTCGAATCGAATCGAGCATTTCGAAAATAAATAGATATCGTGCCTTTCGTTCCGATCAGAATATAAAGAATCATCCACTTTATTCTGTATTCGTAATTATTCTGAACCTGATTACGAAAGATTTATTTAAAAATTTATTTAAAAATTTTTTTCTGATAATTCTCTTTGTATTTGTATTCTCTGTTAGAATCATTAGGCATTATATTATTTGCAAATTGGTCAATTAATTACGAAACTAGCTTCCTATTATTATTATTAACATTTATATAATATTTATATAATAATTAATAAATATCAGATAGGAACTTGAAATCAATTTAACGAGATTAAAATTGATGATATTCATTCTAAAAATAATTTGTAATCTCTTTAGTTTATACATCACGATACAATAATAATTTCATTCTATCTTTCAAACAATTTTAAATTTTGCGTTCAAAAATCGCGAAAAATTAAATATTGCACAAATATCGTACTCTTTTCTATTTTCGATCGTTCGCGAGCATAAATCAAGATAATAATTTTAATTCGTATGGAAATTGTAATTTTGTCGAGTAGATTTGTATTTTTCGTGCAAATTTTTTTTCTATGCTTCGTATTATATAACGTTTATTATACAATTATCTATCATTATATATGATACATTATTGATTTATATATGTGTATATATATTCTTCCATCTAATGAGCGGAAAGAAATAAATATTCCATAATATTGGCACAATATTACATAATAATGTATAATGATGCTTATGTATGTAACAGTAATTGTAAATGTTTTCATGTTTGAACGTCAAATTGAAGATTAAAGCATATTGCACGAACAGATAGATCCAAGTATATTTATATGGAATGATAATATCGATCTTGTGCCAAATCTTAAATAATCTTTCTTATGGAAGAAAGCAAAAAAAAAAAACAAAAATAAATAAATAAATAAATTCGATTGATTTCGTTTATCGATTTTCTATCTTTCGAGTTGGTTCGTAAATAAGAACTTTATAAATCAACGACATAAAAGCAAGAACATGCAATAAAACATGTGAAAAAACATTGACTAAACATAAAAACTAATATGTTATTGGTCATAAAATAATTATAGATACTTGTATCATATCTTTTTTCAGAAAAATAGACGATTTCGATGCGAGATATTGCGAATCAACAGAAAATGGAAGAATCGCTGTTTCGATTCTTTGGATGTGATATGAAATATTCAATCGTGATGAAATGGGTGATGAAAAAAGAAAGAAAAAAATTCTATAAAGATAGTGGAAGATTTATAATTTTTATGAAAAAAAAAAAAAAAAAAGAACACTTCCCCCGAGGTTCATGAGCAGAGGAAGCTCGTATAATGAATTTTAAATATTGTCAATCAAAAACTCGTTCTCGTGGACAGCATATCGAACCGATTTAAAAGTAATCATATGCGTAGTTATTTGCACACGGAACACGTGTCACTGAAAGTGAAGTACCGCATTACAAGAGATAGTGCTATCCTCTTCCTTATTGAATCTTATATATCATATTCATTTCAATGATGGATATATAATGGATGAACAATAAATTCTCTAAATCCAAATAGTCACTTCATTGTCGTGATATAAATGGAATTGTTATTAACAGTTTCTTTACGTCTTGAAATCTTTTAAACGTCATACGTGTGCTTAATAACCTCAAAACTGCTTTCATAACCGCACCGATAAAAGATAGAGAACATGAAAAACATGAATATTACTACTTTAGACGTGATTCGTTAAGAAAGTGTCAAGAGTTTAAAAAAGTTTAATATGATACAACTTTCAAGGGCATTCCTGTAAAGATCGAGCGATTTATGAACTGGTTTTCCATTAGATTAAAATAGAATTTCACGCAAAGTGTTAAGGTTCGTTATAAACTTGTAGTATTTATTATGTTATATTATACTTATTTTATTATACTCGTTCAACTGTTCACGATTTTAACATAAGAAATATAGATGGATTTAAATAGGATACATTCGAATCAATGTAGTTTTATTAAGTGTTTAGATTGAATAAATGGCAATATGGTAATTTTGATAACTAGCTTTGATAATTAGATTTCATTTAATATGACATCTAATATGATTCATTAATATGACGATGGGATTATTAATCGAGAATATGAAATAATCCTAACTATTAGTTAATACAATTACATTTCATATTCCACGTAAACACGCTTAACAAAAAGTGAAACAGCAATTGATGATATTCATTCCATGCTGTACAACTTTCTAAAAAATCTCTTTTTTCGAATAGTAAAAGTAAACGATTGGCTTATTGTAACAAAATTTTAAAATCATTAAAACGCGTACAAAAATTATATTGATTATACGGATATCTTGCTTCAGTTGCTCACAAAATTCATTAAAATTAATTCCACGAAGAGATAAGTTTTATTGCAATTAATAATGCGGTAATATAAATGTATATGTCATGAATTATTATAATTAATTTAACGTTGGATTATTTTTAGAATCACGTAAAAAAAGATTCACACAAAACATTAACAGATAACAAATATATTTTCCTTAACCGATCTATTAGTCGTTTCTTGATATATAATAACAACACATATTTCTTGTATTTGCGATAATAGCAATCGTACATCATTTTTATTTCCATAACTTCGCAGTATGTGGACATGCAAAGTTTCGATTTATTTATATAAAATGTTGCGTTGCGTAACAAATTCAGGAAAAAGATTAACATTGAATTGATTTTTTATAATATTAATACAAAGATTTAAATTTCATGTTATTCTATCATAATTTGAGACATCAAGATCGCAGAATTTCAAAACTATGTTCTCACATGGCATTGAATAATTTTTAACGTAAGCATCTTTTAACTGAAACGACGTAAATTTTAATCACCCGTGAAGAAGAAAAGCATTTACAGAAATAGTAATAAATGATTCAAACGAGGTTATTTTTATTTTGATAATTATTACATTCTACTATATGAGAATATAAAATCCTTGAAATTTATCGCTGGCTATATGGCTGGTTATTGAGTTTTTTTTTATTCAGGTATGGAAGAGACTGTTAAATTGGTGAAGGCTGCAGGTGGCACTTGTTACAGTTACGTTTGCGATTTGTGCGACAAGGAAGATATTTACAAGAAAGCGGAACTAGTTAAGAAGGAAATTGGAAAGGTGAGGATTGCATTATTGATGAAATAATCGAAGAACGTGAAGTGATTCAAATTATTTCGAAGATGCTTTTCTAGAATTCATGTATTTCGTCACAACAAATGCCACATTAAATTCGCCAGTAATTATCAAATGCGCATACCAGCAGCTTTCAACATCTCTTGTCGATTGTTTAAGATTTTGCATTAATTAAAATTTATTATATGTGAATATAAATGAAATTGGATGAAGAGTTAACAAAAAATAAAATATTTTTGAATATTCGATCGCTTTGACAGTACATAATTCAATTCTAGAATCAATATATTTATTCTATAATTTATTTTCTTTTTGTTTTTCTTTTTTTTTTTTTTTCGACATTCTAAATCACTTTTAATTTAATTTAATTATCGATATGGTAAGCAAGCAAGTGAAGTATCCTATTTTTCTGAATGTTGCAGGTAACTATTTTAATAAATAACGCCGGTGTAGGACACGGATTCAAATTTTTAGATGCGACGGACAAACTTCTTAAACGAACGATGGACGTGAACGTGATGAGTCACTTCTGGGTATATCTTTATCTCGAACCCATACTTTTAATAGTTGTCGTTCTTCAGCAATTTATCTATAACGAAATGAAAACGAGAATCAATTATACTTTTCTTGATAAACGATTAAACAGTACATGAAGAAATTTCAGTATTTCTATTCGCGTATCGAATTTTCCAAATAGAATAACTGAAATAGCTTCTCTTAACTAATTTTAGATTAGATTCAAACTCAAAAACAATTCTGCAGTGTAAGTTCCAAGTGAGAGGCATTCTTGCATTGGTATTCCCTCAAGTAGAAAGAATATTGTTGTAATATTGGGGACATTGGTCAGGTAGATACAGCCATTTGTGTGTGCAATTGCGACACGTATTCTTGCGTATACGGATAATATTAAATTCTTCTGTAATACGAAATCTTATTGGTGCAATACTCGAATACATGAAAAAGTAATTATTATTTATATACTCTTTATTCAGATATTCTTCTGAGTCGAAAGTAAACATTTTCTTCTTTCTAATAATCTTATTTCTACATAAATAAGGTTATTTCTTGTGAATAAGGAGACATTGATCAAAAATGGGACAATTAAAATTCTTGGAAAGACACGAGTACAAATTGTGACCTGTGCTACAATTATATTTACTTACGTTAATTACACATGTAAATTTAGGAAATTATAGTATTATACTATATAAAAATAGCTAGAATAATTTAATACTTGATTCCCTTTTTATTGATTCTCATTGATTCTTTTAAGAGATTAAAAATATATTAAGATATATTATATTATTGTATGATGTATAAATTGCTGAAAATGATATATTTTTTTTATATAATATTTCGAGATTATTTAATTAATTTCTCTTTCTCAAGACGACGAAAGCATTCTTACCTCCAATGCTGGAAGACAACAAAGGTCATATTGTAAGTATCGCAAGTTTGGCTGGATTTGTAGGAGTACCACATTTCGTGGATTATTGCACCTCAAAATCAGCGATAATTGGATTCGAAGAAGCTCTTCATATGGAGTTAATTGTAAGTTTTTTTACTTTTCGTTTCGATAACGTTTGCTTATTGAATAAATATATGTTTCATAAAAAAAAATTATTTTCCGTTTTTAGGCCGATGGATACGATATCAACATGACCGTGATATGCCCGTTTTTCATTCAAAGCACTGGCATGTTTAGCGAAGTTTCTCCCAAGTATAACCTGATCCTTATTATATGTACATAAATGGAAATGTAAAATTGGTGATCTATCCTCGCATTCTTCAGATTTTTACCGAGCGTTTTGCCGAATAAAGTGGCTGATCGAGTGATAACTGCTTTGAGGTGCAATGAAAAACTCGTTGTAATTCCTGGTTACATACGCTTTCTCGTTGCTGCAAAATGGTGAACAAAATTGCATCGGCAAAAAGTTTATTTTCTAATGACTATGACAAAAGATGAAAATTTCTTATAAAATATTTCTCATACTTAAAAAATTGCAATTGTAATGTAATAATGTAATCCACATTTTTTTTCTTTCATTCCAGGTTTTTGCCATGGCCTTCCGTAGTTATGTTCATACAAAATTTACTGAGTAAAACACCGATTCCATCGGACATTACTGCTGAAAAAAATAAGAAAGAAAAAATTACTCCAGGAATGGTAACCAAAGATTCAGACACCTCGGCTGTTCATCAACAATTAACCAGACGTATTTCTAGTTCGAAAAAAAAGAAACCTTAATCGTTTGATCGACGCAACATAACCAACTATTTTCGATTGCTTTTTCCCAAAAACTTGAATAAATAACCTGTGAGAGTTATGAAGAGAATTTGACATATGTCATATCAAAACATTAAATTATTATAATTGCGAAACTCGTTTAATACGAGTTTTAACTAGTAGAGTTTGTTATACAAGATAAATTTTAACAAACAAAGTGTGGATTGTTGATTGTGTAATTTTTAGAATTAATATTGGAATGTGAAAAAATAGTAATAGGAGTTAAGGTAAAATATGAGTTTATAATCTAAATCTTATTATTTATTATTTATTTATCAGTACTGTATCGTGTCTTCTGAAGAAAAGTAAAATACTTTGCTAATTAATCATTGATCAAGACCAAATTTGATTAGTTTGTAAAAAAGATTGTAGGCGGAATCTTGCAAAATGTCAATGAAAATTCATGTATTTTAATATTGTTGATTACCATTTTTACTTTAACGTTTTGTACAATGTTATTTTATAGCACAATGTATGAAGTTTATATAGTTTTAATATTTAATATAAATAATGTACTTGTAATTTTTATTATTTTTAGAAAAAAATAAACAATATATATATAATTGTATTAACATAGGAATAATTGAGATTATTTTATTTGTAAGTGGTAATTCGATTGCAAAAAAACGAACAAATACATTTTTCAATTTATCAAATGAGTTTAACAAATTTTATGAATTATCACAAATTTGATGAATTTAAATTACATATTGTCGTAAAATGTAATTTGTTCAATTACAATCAATTACAACTTATCATATACATTATCATTTTGAAATAGTGCCATGTGTTTAATATGATAATTTTATATTACTCAACATTATTCATGAATATCAAACTTCAAAGTAAAAAAATTTTTGAAATTTTATAATATTTTTATGTAATAATTCGTGTTGGTAATTTTGAATATGCCAATAATTCAAAATATTTAATTAATTAATTAAATACAGGAGAGGTGTAAAAGATAAAATTTAAAATTATCTCTATAAATTCATCATATTACATAATAATATTATACATTTATATTTAGTAATTTTTTTGTAATTAAACTTTATCATTATATACGAAAATTTCTTTTTAAAATATGAATAAATATCTTAATAAAAAAGAATAAATTAGAAAAATCAAGTAAATTTATTTAAAAAATAAATTACATAATTATATGAATAATTTATGGAAGGAATTCTATACTATTTTTTTATTTATTTAATGTGCTACGGAAATACAGTAATAGAATTAAATATGATTCAGATATATATTAAATAAGATGAATATATATATATATTAAAATATCATATTGCAATCACTCATCTAAATGCCAAAAAATATTTTCTAAATAATATATATATAGTTTATTATAGATTTTATCTTTTCAATTTTTTAAAATTAATTAAAATTTATTAATTTTATTTTCCACTACTTGGTATGAATATATTAAATGTCCATAAAGAATAATAGAATGAACAATTAAATTTCGAAATTGCTATGAACTTCAAACAAAAAACTAAATGTTTCCTTTACTTCGATTTTAATGCGATAATGTTGAAAAATAAGTGAATAAAAAAAAAAAAAGAAATCACATAAACTATTGACATGATAATTTATAAATATAGTTTCCAATTATAATTTTCCTCTTAGATATATATATAGAATATATATATATAGAATAAGAAATGTGTGTACATTCATGTATAATTATTTTCTTCGTAACTATTTAATTGAACAAGATGAATCGTGATTACACAATTTCTAACTAAATATTTTCCTGAACATTATCATTTTGAAATAGTGTCATGTGTTTGATAATCCTATATAACATTATCAATATTGTTTATCAAACACATGTACATAACACAGTAGACAATATTACAACTTACAATTAGAATCGTATATCCACGATGAAATAATAATGATCTCGATGTCAGTTTTATCCAGTTATGCATCCAGTTGAAACGCATCAACAAAGATTTTCCGCAATAATTTATTAAAAGTGCTATACAATAAATTGAAATTTATTAGATTGTAAAAAAAAAAAAAAGAATTAACAAGATCAATGGAAGAATAGATCGTTAAATATTATATTATAGATTGTACGATTTCGTACTTATTATATGTTTAATGTTGACAATCTAATCGGATTCACGAAGATAAAATCAAACTTTTATTGCGAAACGATATCAGATCGACGTAACCGTTTTACCTTTCTTTTTCTATCCGCTATCCGGTGTGTATCGTTATCATAGTGCAGATAAGTCACATTGAGATTCTAATCGCTTCGATTAAGTCATATCACTTTCGTATTCATCATTTGTTGGAAGAATTAAAAGAACGAATTATATTCCGGTAAGCAAGGATCTTTGAGATTTTTCTCAAGAAAAAGAAACGTGAATAAACTTCCATCGATGTGTTTTTTCCGTGTCAATTTATATTTTTTATCGTGAAAATGAGAAATCTGTTGAAATCATTGTTGTTTCTGATTTTCCTTTGTCACGAATGGAGAGAGATTGAGAATGTAGAAACGAAGATACTAAGATTGTGCATATCTCAGAACACGTGCGAGAATTGTCTGCAGGCCAGTTCCTCTTGCGCTTGGTGCAGTGATTGGGTAAATTTTTAATTTACAACGATATTCGTTATTCGTTATACATTGATCGATGAAATTATTGAAGCTTTCTTTCGAAGCTTTTCTTCTCTTTTAAACACGCTTGCAGTTCTACTCGAATTCAACGATTGGAAGACCACGATGCAATGTGCCAGAGAAATTGAAGGAGTTCGGTTGTTCGCCAGAGAGGATCCATACAACTCCGCTTGAATCGATGACTTTACTTGAGGACTCGGATTTTCAGGACATGGAAGCAGACCGTACACCGATACAGTTACGCCCCCAACGAGTAAAAGTTAGAATTCCGCCATATTCCAAGATGACGATCCCAATTCATTATCGACTGGCCAAGTATGTTTCTTTAACCGACTTATTAAATTTCGAAATAATTCAATTCGAAGTCACGAATCAAATGAACAAAAACAAGAGAATACAATTAATTATTTTATACAATTCATTAAATTTAGAATAATATTCGTACGAAGATGTTGTTGTTAGAAAATGTCATAACGTACGAATAAAATATCGAGTAGTCTATTATCTAACGATTCAAAAATGATTTAGAAATTATCCACTAGACTTGTATTACCTGATGGATTTAACGTGGACGATGAAGGATGACAAAGAGACTCTGGTCAGTTTGGGATGGGATATGAGTCGAAGATTTGGCAAATTTACCGATAAATATCGTTTAGGTTTTGGCAGCTACGCCGATAAACCCGTGATGCCGTACATTTTGCCAGGATACAAGGAAAATCCTTGCATAAGTGTGCACGCTGTTTGCTCCCCTATTTATTCATTTTGGCATCATTTAAGGCTAACCGATGACATTCAACGATTCATCACCAAAGTATCAAACATATCATTTCTTGGTTGGGAAGCGAAATTAGGATCGGAATGGATTAAATAATGTGATAAATTTCAGGTAAATAACAGCTTGGTGACGGGGAACGCGGACAATTTGGAAGGAGCATTGGATGGAATCGTACAAACGATCGTTTGCACCGAACAAATTGGTTGGGAACATCAGGCACGAAAAATTATTCTCGTTGCCACCGATGGACATTTACATTTCGCTGGTGATGGAAAGGTAATATATAAAATACAAACTGATAATGAATAAAAAAGAAAAAATATATCATGATGATATCTCAAATGCAAATGCATATATATATATATATATATATATATATATATATATATATATATATATATATATACT